GGAGCGGCCACTGCACTCCAGTCTGGGTGACAGAGTGAGACTACAACTCAAAAAAAGAAAGAAAAAAGAATCAACATAGGCCAGGCGCCGTGGCTCAAGACTATAGTACCCACACTTTGGGAGGCTGAGGCAAGGGGATTGCCTGAGGCCAGGTGTTCAAGACCAGCCTGGGCAACTTGGTGAGACTTTGTCTCTACAGTTAATCAAAAAATTAGCTGGGTGTGGTGGTGCATGCCTTTAGTTCCAGCAACTTGAAAGGCTGAGGTAGAAGGATCGCCTGAGCCCAGCAGTGAGCATGCCACTGCATTCCAGCCTGGGCAACAGAGTGAGACTCCGACTTAAAAAAAAAAGAATCATCATAACAACCAAGTGATGAATTACTAACAATTGTTTGAAATCACATGACACTTTAAATAAATTAATATGAAATTAATTAAATTTTAGTATATTAGCATTGGTTACATTTCCTTAGTTTATTCCAGTTGTTTGGGAGCCTCATTTTACAAGACATGCGCAATAAATGACTCAAGATGCATGGGCTATATAAATCATTGCATAGTGCAAATAGTTGTCTCTGACTAGGTTGTAAAAATTGGGTCAGAGGAGTTTTGTGCCTTGACCTACACTTTCTTCCCAAGAAACTGCTACCAGGTGGTTGTTAGCTTTGTCATGCATGTTTCAGGAAGAAAACTCTTTGCCTCCATGTGAATAAATTATTTCCCTGACATTCCTTGCATTTAATACACTAATACCCCCTCCTGGTGTAAACCACTGTTGGTGCCTGTTGGGTCAGGTTGGTAGAGACTCAAATGTTGGGCATGATTGAACAATCATATGATATTTCGCTTAAGTAATAGTTTGAGTTACTTTTCAGCAAATATTCACTCCCTTCCTCTCTCACTGTGGTAGAAATTTTCTTCCCGGTTCCACTGATGTTTGCTTTGGTCAATGGGATGTTGGTGGGCATCACCCAAGCAAAGGTTTGACATGGGCTTGCCCTCTTGCACTTCTACTATAGCATAAAAAAGACATGCCCTAGTTAGCCTGCCAGAGAATGACAGTCATAAGGAGCAGACCTGGACTCAGTCTGCACCTGGAAGTCAAACAGGGTCTAGATCAACCAACCTCCAGTCAACTACATAGGCATGACAATAAAAGCTATTTAAGTTTTGTTAAACAGCATTTTTGTAAAAATAGCCAATATGCAATCTATAACCAAAATTATAAATGAAAATCATTTTAAATTAAGTACTTTTTACCTTTATGCAAATATAACTACCTTTGTGGCATGAAAATCTTATTTGTAAGTATCGATTTTCATCTACATTTATTATTCCGCTTTGGGAGGAATTTTTTCTCTGTGACAATCATTCCTTTTGTAAGCAATACTGTCTTTATTAAAGGTAATGTAGGCTGGGCTCGGAGGCTCAGCCTGTAATCCCAGCACTTTGGGAGGTTGAGGCGAGTGGATTGCCTGAG